CCATTCGGAGAGAGCATGTTTTTAAGTGTCTTTCAATGAAGAACATATGCAGGAATGTCTCTTGTTTCGCTGTTTTCAACAGGATGCTGGAGAGCAACATTGATAAAGTTCTCGCCGGACGGACAGGAGTTCGCTTCTTCTTCCCTCTCTGTGGCAAAGCTGTAGACATGAAGTGGTATGAGAAAGCATACCATATCCAATAAGGCAGATCATATTTGCTGTTTTTACATTTTCACTTCTCATTTCTGCTGTTTGAACACCATACAATGAAACATTTTCTCAGCGATGACTACAGCGCGCTCCTAAATTCCTTCTACTTCCTGTGTGAATCCCAGGCTGGCCGACATGGGCCACTCAGTGGTCGGGGTAGAGATATCTGAAAAGGCTGTAAAACAGTTCTTTGAGGAGAACAACATGACCTACAGTGAGGAGCCTGTCCCTGCCATACCTGGAGCAAAGGTTTACAAGGTGGGTGAACTATACATATGCATAAACAGGGAGGGCTCAACATGCTTTTCATATTTTTTACTCATAACGCATATCATACTTACAGTTAACATTCATTCAGAAGACCACTAAATCCATTCAGGTTGTGCAAATGTTTTATGCATTGCACATATTTGTTAAAAATGGACTAAAACACACTTTTAGAGTCAAGTTAATGAGACACTTACAGATGCACATGCACTGAGGGAAAATAAACATACTGAATGTACACACAGATATGGCCTTAATTGTTAATGCATGTTGTCTTTGTTCCTCAGAGCTCAGAGAGAAATATCTCCCTATATCAATGTGACCTGTACAACTTTTCCAGGTAAGTACATTCTATATGTTTTAATCCCTTTTTAAAGACATTACATTACTTGCACAGGTAAACTGTTTTTCCTTTCCACAGTTCCATTGAGGGAGAGTTTGGTGCAATTTGGGACAGGGGATCTCTAGTGGCCATCAACCCAAGAGACAGAGAAAAGTAAGATTTGATTGAACCCTCCATTGA